AAAAAGTCATCAGTTAGGTTTGTCCATTTAATTTACTTGTTTCACTCAAGTTGCATCAGTGAGGTACATGTTATTGTGAAACCAAGAGCTAATCTGAGTAAGCCCGCCAAACTTAACCTGCCTTGCTTGCTTTTCATTGCTTACTTGTGGTTGTTCTTAAAACTAATGCTATCTATGACCTGAGTACATGGATGAGATGGAAAAAAAATACATAACTAAACTCCCACAGGCTTCCTTACAGATAACATCCCTGGATGTTGCTCACTATAGTAACGGGTGCTTAAAGATGGTTTTTCAGAAACTAGAGGACAGCTCTTGGTCAGTTCCAGCTGGTTGAGACCACCAACCCTTCAACTGGGCCTGCATGGATGCCTCCAGAATGACCTTTTGAAGTCAGAGGGCCATAAAGCTAACCCTCAGATCGTGCCAATGCAGCCTTTTTCTGCACGCGTATGAAGAGTAATGTAGCTTAATTACACTTGTGTAGAAACCTGAATTACCACACCTTTCCTCCCTACCAATTATCTTTCCACATTTTAAACCACCCTGCTTTCTATTCCTGAAATACTCTCAAGCCCTGTATTTGGAGAGATGAATTTCAAGTTTGTTCTCCCATCTTCTCACACAGCAGCCTTGTGAATAAAATATATTCTCCCTTGCAAAACCCCTCACCTCAGTGATTGGCGTGCTGCCTGAGGGCAGAATGAACTTGGTTAGTTTACAACTCTAGAAGTTTGCATATCATTTGAATATGTCACCATTTTTTTTATCTTTGCCACTTATTGATGGACATTTGGGTGTTTCCAATTTGGTTCATTATTAGTGTTTCTAAGCAGATTCTCATACATACTCTTTGTGGAAATAGGTTATGGGTTATATATGTTAGTGTGGAGATGCTTAGGGTGTTCATATGTTCAGCTTTAGTTGCTGCTGACAAACAAGTATCCAAAATGGTTGTAGCAATTTACACTCCTCCAGCCAAGTATAAGGGTTCCCCTTGCTCCACTTGTTCACATCTACTTGGCATTGTCTTCATTGTAGCTATTCTCATGGATATGTATATTAGAGTTTTCCAGAGAAGCAGAAACAAAAGACCGTGTGTGAGAGACAGAAACTGCATGATACACCAGCAAGCTAAGAGATCTAGGAAAGAGTTGTTGATGCTGCAGTTCCAGTCTAAAGGTCCTCTGCTGGCTGAATTTCCCCCTCTTCAAGTGAGCCCCGTCTTTTTCTTCCAAGCTGATATGGTTTAGCTGTGTTCCCACCCAATCTCATCTTGAATTGTAGTTCCCCTAATCCCCATGTGTTGTGGGAGGGATCCAGTGGGAAGTGATTGAATTATGGGGGCCGTTATCCCTGTGCTGCTGTTCTCATGATAGTGAGTGAGTTATCACAAGATCTGATGGTTTTGTCAGGAGCTTTTTCCCCTGTTGCTCAGCACTTCTCCTTGCTGCTGCCACGTGAAGAAGGACATGTTTGCTTCTGCTTCCACCATGATTGTAAGTTTCCTGAGGCTTCTGCAGTCATGCCAAACTGGTAGTCAATTAAGCCTCTTTCCTTTATAAATTACCCAGTCCTGGGTATGTCTTTATGAGCAATTTGAGAATGGACTAATATTCAGTCCTTCAAATGATTGGATGAGGCTCACACATATTATGGACTGCTTTACTCCAAATCTACCAGCTTAAATGTTAATCTCGCTAAGAAAAAAGAAATACCTCACAGAAACACCCATCACTGTCTTATTAGGGTTGGTAACTGGCACTTTGCTTTGTCTGTTTTAGGAGGTCATGGTTCCCTGTTTGCTATTGTTACTTGTGGATGTGCATCCATGTCTTTGCATGAAAGGTTCTATTTTCCAGTTTTCACATCCAGCTTGTTTTTGTCTTTCTAGGGTATGTTTGCTTAGACATTCTTTGCAGTCCACCTGTTGAATCCCTTTTCTACTAGTACACTGCCTCCTTTTCCATACTAGATGGCCCCTTAAGCCCAGGTTCACCTCACTTTTCCAAACAGTAGTGCTGCCAAAACTGGATGGAGGGTAGTGGGGTCCCAAATAAAACACCCCAGCCATGTGGGAAGGCTGGTAGGGGGTCGTGCCCAGGGACCCGTGGAGCATGCCTCCCATAGCAAGATGCTGCTGAAAAGCCACTGAGCTGCCATCCTCCCCCTTCTTGGTCTCAAGCTGCCCTCGGGGATTTTTCTCCCTTCAAGCATTCATGAAACTTCTGTGGATTGATGCAGGAACCCAGGATAATGTGAAACTGGCATCCACCTCACTGTCAACAGTGGAGCAAAAGTTCATGATGTGAGTCTCCACATGCTGTTCTGTTCATCTGAGTGGGAGCTGCAAGTTAGTCCTGCCTTCTATATGCCATTTTCCCCCAGTAGGTCTTTTTCTATGTGTCCCATTAATAATATTGACAATAACTCTGATCAACATATTCTACAAAATTTTCTGAAGAAATTCTGAATGAGAAAACAGCAAAATGATTCTAAGAGCAATTTTCTGTGTGGTGACTGGTAGCTTGGGGCATGGCCACCAAGGATAAAGAAGTCCATTTCTCTCACCTTCCAGATAGAGGTTTTATTACTTCTCTTTGGCCTTCAGGATGATTTCTGCTTCCTATTTGAGTTCTAGGATGTTGCTGGTGATAATCTTTGCACCGATACTGGTTTTAGTTTTCTGTGGGAGAGAGGAAAGCCAGATTGCTTCTATTCTGCCATTCTGGTGACTTGACTCTCAACTTTTCTTCCTCCTTATGTTTTATGTAACCACATATAGAGTTTTTGGTAATTTTGTAGTGTATTCAAAGCATCATGACACATCAATATTACTGTTATTTTACACAGTCAGACTTCATTTAGATTTACTGATACATTTACTCTTCCCATTGCGTTTCATTTGTTCTTTGTTTATTTCATTCATTTTAAACTGTATTTTTATGCATATTTTTGCTGGGTATTGAATTCGTGTTGCCAACTATTTTCTTTCAGCCCTTTGAAGATATTCTGTTCCCTTCTTTTTCTGGTATTGCTTTTGAGAAGTCAGCTGTTAGTCATATTACTTCCCTTTTCAAAGTAGTGTGTCTTTTTTCCCTCTTCACGTTTTGTGTATTTTCTTTTTGCCTTTGCTTTCTAGCAGTTTCACCATGAAGTAACTATGTA